AAACTGAAGAATAGAAATGAAAATTCATAGACGCTGAAATGCAATGGAAATTAGACATAAATAAATAGAAATACGTAAACCATAGTTGTTTCTATGTATTAGCAGCAAAAGTCGTTTTAATGTACATAAGAATTGATTTTACACTGACAATATTAAAAAGAATAATCTCATGGAAGAATGAATTTTAGATTAAAAAAGAAAAGAAAAAATGATAGAAAAATTATTGAAGAATTTCATAAATGTATGAAATATGAAATGATAGTTTACACCTCAATTATTTTCTTCATTTTCATACTACTTTATGAAAAAGGACACTGCAGTTGAAAAAAAAGAAAAGAATGGACATGGCAAAGAAGAAGGTTTTTGCTAATTGTCGTTTTTACAGTACTTGGTCTATTTAGAACAGTTCGTTAATTACGCATAAAATCGTTTTTTTCAATTATTATGGGCATAAGAAAAATTTTCACATGTATTGACATTGAAATAAAAAATGAAATGAAAAATTTTCAAGAAAAATGAAAAATTTTCATCGTATAATTCGAACTACTTAATTTTGAATTATTACAGTGATACTAAAAATTCGAATAGGAATTCAAAATTCTAAACCAATTCCATATAAAATAACTAACAAACAGTTTTACCAACATTGTTCAAAATTATCAATGATAAAATAAAAATTCAATTTTAAGGATTTTTTAATTATCAAAAATTTCTTAATCAGTCAATGATTTACAGTGAATCACCCACTATCAGCAATATTGGTGTTGTTAATGCTGTCCTTGTGATCATCAATATCATTATCACTTTTATCTTTTCTTTTTTGGCATTTCATATGTTGATCAGAGCTTTCATACATAAAAAAATTTATAATCAATTTAGTAATGATCTACTACCAGCGTTACTGTTTCAATCGCCCGTTTTATCATTGCGGCAATGAGAAAGGAGAAAGTCAGAAAATTTTGTTAATTTTTTAGAAAAGGTTTGTGTATTTAGTATACTTTTTTTACGAGTGATCGAAACTAGCATTTGATGATAAGAAAAGTCAAAAAATCAACAAATAAATTTAGAAAAACCCTGAATAAAAAGTACTAATTACTCCTATATAGACCTAATTAAACTGAAAATTAATCGGAATTCGAATCTCGAAGATTGTAAAAGAAATTTCGATCACAATGTAGTTGAGAGGAAAGGATGAGAGAAAACGAAAAGACAGATATAGCTTTTCTACCAATCAGATATGAGTTACACTTTTCCGCATTTGGGACACGATTACACGTTGGAGAATAAGGTAAGTGGTATGAAGGTATGAACCTGTTAATGGTGTTGACAGGCACTGCACATATATACAATAAAAGAAGGGATGAAGGAACTGGAAAAAATTGTAATTACTCCCGTGTCACCAATTCTCAGACTAACGATGATTTGTTTGTGTCATTAAAATGCATAGAAGTGAGCGAAAGTGAAGCGATTCTTGAAATCGCAGGAAATGATTACGATTAATTATGTCTAAATTGAAAGAACGAGCTGCTCTCTCATTTCTTTCTTTAATTTCACAAACAGCATTAAATAAAACAGGATATTACAGTAATTTCGTATCGTATTAGCTTACTATTGTAGGATCAGAAGTGTAATCGGCAGTTATTAGGGTCACTATGTTGTTGATAGTGAAGATGCTAATAGTCGCAGTGAAGATAACTCTCCACAATAATCGCCCATCCTTCTTTAACCCGCATTAAATTGTTATCTAATTATAGAGAAATCCTTCTTGGTTTTAAAAGCAGTAAGCTCACGTGTGTTGAAAACGGCGTTTAAAACACGGAAAATTTTGAGAATTTTTGTCAAAAACTTCCTTCCTCTAGGAATGAGTCCGATTGGCTTATGTCAAGACTTTAAACAGCTTACAACTTTATCTCCTGTATCTGATACTGATACTGATAGCTTAAGGAAAAGTTTGAATAAAGTTTTTAAGCAAATGATTTCTTTTACTCTTCATCCGTCTTCATTTGGAAAAATTAATTTAGAAATAGAGCCGCAGTTATTCATGATTAATAGTAAGGGATTGAAAACGTTTGATCAAATTATGCTTTGCAAATTAAATTCATTTCAGTCTCTGCAAAGAGAATGGTGACAGAAAGATGAAAGCACATGCTTTTTTATTCTAAATATAGGAACTTCATATCCAGTTTAGAGCTCCTTTCATTAACAGTTGTCAATGCCTACCAATGACAGATCGTCATTGCATTCATTCGTATCGTTGAAAACTGTTGGAAATTAACTTATTGGTCTTTCAGATATTTCCTAAATTCTGTCATATGAAATAATGAAATGTTTAAAACCTGTAAAAGGCTTCGGTTAAATAGGGAAAAAGTTTGAAAAAAGTTGTCTTTACGAAATGTTAAGAAATAGTAACTTTTATATGTCAAGGTTAGAGTGAAATAAAATGCAAATTGGGTGAGAAAATAGATATTGCCAATTTTTACCACTGCTTGAAATCTGCATGAAGGAGCAGAAGATGAATAAGATGAATAGTTCAATCGTTTTCAAAAAGTGAATAATATCAGTAAAGTCGTTATTTCCCTTCACGTAATTTGGTGTCATCATATTTTTTGGCAAAAAAACTTGTAAAGAAAGAACAAAAAAAGAGCTTTTTCTGTGAATCAGTGTACACCTTTCTCTATCAATATCGTTATTTCGACAATGATCGATCACAATATCCCGATGCAACCACAGACGAGGTTGAAGGACCGTCCTTTCGAATCAATTTTTTTATCTTTCGTCTGACATGCACAGTATTGTTCAGTTTTATATTTTCCTCGTCTTCCCATTAGAAAAAAGCATCTTGTTCGGTGTTTCAAATAGGCCATATCGAGGTCTATTAGAATATATCAGAGAAGCTTGCACACCTCGAAGACATTTTATGCTTTCGATCGACAACCCAGTTATGGAAAATAAATATGTTGAAGGTTCATGTTAAAAGAGGTTGACATGAATTGAGGTAGAGTAATGTATGACTGAGTCTTTAGCAAAATTTAGATCTTTGAATGCTAAAGTGATTCTATTATTAATGAATGTAAGGAATATTTGCTGTTAACTTTACTTTGACTACAATGGAGTAAGCGCAAATTTTGCTACAACCTACAAGGAAATATTCTGAACTTCGCCGACTTCACTTGATATTATTTATTATTTTTAAATTAATTTCCTGTAATTATTGAAAAATTCTGGTCATTCCTTCTAGCAAACGAAAGGAGTCAACTCTTCAAGTTATATTCATTGCTTTACATCCTTCTTATTCAATCTTTGTTGTTTGTTTGTTTTTCATTTTTCATTCATTCTCTATTTATTTAAATAATATTTTGAGAACACAAATCCATTTTAATAAAATCAAAAGTAACTTCTACAGGAAGGATGTTTTGCTTATGAAAGTGCTACCAAACAAACATTTTAGAAATCCTGTCAGGAAGATCAATGGATGTTTGTTATGCCATAATTTTTTGATAAGTTTATAAGAGAAAGATATATTTTCAAGCAAATTATAAGTTTCGTCACCTTTAAAATATTGATATTTCCTAATGAGTTGTTGAATTTCTAAAAATTAACAATTGTTAAAGGATTGGAAGTTAAAAAAGTATAAAAAATTAAGGCCGAAGGTCTGTAAGTAACAACTTAACTCAGCAACAACTTTCACTGAGGAGTTTGCTTTATTAGCTCACTTTTCATACTTACGGCATTTAAGGTTCAGTGGCTTCATTTAAGTTTTATAAAGAATATTTGCCACAAGCCATTTCCTAAAATTAACAAAATTCGAACTAACAGTGAAAGCAGCAACAATAACATCGATAAAGTTTCCAAAAGGCTTTTGAAATGTGACTGGATCAGGCCTAGTTGTTACTGTTGTTGCAGGAGTAGACGATGGTAATGGCTCTGAAGGTTAGAACAGAATATCAATTTCCACACAAAAAAAATTACTCCGTTAATAAAATAGAACACATCGATTTTAAAATTATCATTTCAAATGTCAAATCTTCAGCAAGTTTCAGTGCATTCCAAAATTGCGGTATATGTCCCTAATGCATGTAAATGCGTGCAACTGCGTGCAAACCGTACCTGTAATAACACCTGGACTGGTGAAATTCTATTTAAATGCAGAAATTACTGAATGCTACTCTTTAAACTATTTCATTGATACATGCATCCTATGGCCTGTTTAACAATGATTCTAAAATCAACATTTTCATTTTCTGATCTGGAGGAGTAACTCAAAGTGGATGCACACTGAATAATTTCAAGTAACTTATATCCAAATATAAGCGGGAATAGACATGGATAGTAATAAACGGAATATATTACTGACCTGAACTTGAGCTCAAATTTGTTGTAATTGCTAGTTCCGTTGAAGAGGATATTCGTTGTTGCCGGTGAGTGATGTTTCCCGTAAGCACAAGTAGTCCTTCCGATGTTGACATAGTGTAGTCGATCTAACTTATTTAAGCTCCAACCAAATTACCAAAAGTTCGGCCCTCTTCGATGCTTTACGTTGTTTGCTTTCGATTGTCAAATGTTTTGCTTTCGATCCTCATAAAGTTGAAAATAGCAGGTCAAGTTTAGGATTGCAATTGTTTTTATAATCTCGATTAGAAAGATAAATGAAAACTTATTTGGCACAGAAAAAATTTGCTCAATTTCATTCATGAGAAGCAATCAGGTGAGTAACAACATGTAACCCGCCTTTATTCCAAATAACACCTTAATTTCAGATGAAATTAAAAGTCCCAAGCAAATCATGATGTCATGACGCCATCCAAATGTTCTATACCATTACTATTATAAACTTCAAAAGTTTTATCTCAACGTCTGTCATCAATGAAGTATGAAATACAGACAACAAAAGATGGCGTTCAGACTAACACAAGACTTTGTTCTAAATTTAAATCAATCTAAACTATCTGAACAAAAATTCAGACCTGTGCTAATTTTTTAGTTGCTGAAATTTCTGACGAAAAGAAAAAGTTTTCGGAAGATCATTGAGTTTAGAACAGTTTCGAACATTGTTAATTGCCAGAAGTCATTCTGAGCAATATCACTGGGAAACATAACAAAGTTCAATTCAATTCAATGGCAAATAATGCCACCCATTTTAAATTTATGATTCTTTTTGTAGACGCCTGCATGCATGCATGCAGGCATACTCATATGATATACACTATATCTTTGTGTGACACATGCTATTTATTGCAGGTGTGTGCGCGAATGTGTGAAATACTATTTTGACCCGGAGATGACCTTGAATCGATGAGCAGAGTGATACATTTAAACGATACGTTTTGTTGTCCTAATTGCATCAGAAATCTCATCTTCATCTTTTCAAAATAAATTTTAAACTTTGGTGTATTCTCCACAAACGGTTCAAGTGAAATGATCAAATGCAGTTAGTTATTGAGGAATGGATCACATACGGCGGTAATGACCTGTAAACAAAGTAATTCTGTGTAAAAATGTTTATCAAAAATCAAAATTGTAACCTAAATATGGATTTCATTGCCATAGTGATAAAAATACTTGTAAATCTCAAATTTTTAAAAAATTGAGTTTACTTTTGTAATTTTTTTCAAATTCTTTTAATTTCAAAAGTAAAGGCTAAAAGATTGGTAGCTTTAAATGGTTAAGTTTACCATTAATTTCGAAATCTATCACTTCCACAAATTCATGCCATGCTAATTGTCTATATTGTACTGGTACCACATATTTATCATTCCTAATGCTACATTGCTATTTCTCTACAGTTATTTACATCACTCAGCAACAGATACCAGATACCAGTATCTATAATTAGCTTGTTACAACGATAAGAATATTAACTCGAGGTCTTAGACTATATTTATCTAGATAAGAGTTGAGGAACTAACACTGCCTGAGTGTATCAAGTAGTGATGAAAACTACGGCTGCACACGTATGTACGGGATACCAGCTAATCTGGTATTTTCAGGATGAAGTCTAGATTGCAAATACCAGATCTTACCTGAGTGAAAGTTGGTTAGCCATTGTAAATGTCCACTATGTCCACTCACTGCATATAGAAGAAGGAAGAGGAAAGAAGAAAGAGCCTAAACATACTATTAGAACATAATATTACTTTGCTCGATACTTTAACTAAGGCTTCTTTTCAGAAGAAACTATATTGATAACTGTTATAACTTAAATGAGATGAAATATCGAACAAACTTCCAATTAGAACTATTACTTAAATCTTCACAAAATCTCTATAACTATATATTGTGTCTAAAATCTTGCATTCTTCAAGCATTACCTATCTTCCGGAGGTTATTAGTTAAGTCCTTTTTTTTCAAAATATGGATTCAGACCGTTTCAGACCCTGTTTATTATTATTATTATTATTATTATTATTATTATTATTATTATTATTATTATTATTATTATTATTATTATTATTATTATTATTATTATTATTATTATTATTATTATTATTATTATTATTATTATTATTATTATTATTATTATTATTATTATTATTATTATTATTATTATTATTATTATTATTATTATTATTATTATTATTATTATTATTATTATTATTATTATT